TTTGTTTATCAAGCAAGACACCATCTTCCAAGTAGGAAGTAAATTCTGACTTGACATTTGTAGTTGAAGTATTTTCCATCACATATTCCGAATAAGCCTTCTCCCAATCTTGACTTGTGACATCAATGTCATCTACCAATGTTGATGCACCAACTTCACTACTTGTAGGAACCATATCATTATTTGGTTGATATTCTTCAACTAAATCTTCACACATTTGTATTACCTTTTCCAATTCTTTGGGAGCATTATTCCCATACATAAGTGGGAAGAAGTAATTCAACAAAGTTATTTTATATCTAGGATCCAAAACAGCCCCTATTGCCATCACCCCATTAATCAAACTCCAATATTTGTCAAACTTCACTATCATACTTCTTGCCATACTTTGTATAGTATCACTAGAAGAATCTTCCCACTTTCTTAAAGCTAATCTTATTTGACAAACTTTGGGAAAATAAATGTTTGATGTTGGATACTTAGTACCCGAGAACAACTCAGTGACACTAAAAAATAATTTCAACTTGTCACAAATTTCTCTTGCCATTTTCCAATCTTCTTCACTTGGTGCACACTTATATTGGGAATCACGGCGTTGTTTTAAACGTTTAAAAACTTGTTCGTAAGGCAATGCAGAAGCAAGCATTAAATAAGTAGAGTTCCATCTTGTTATACAATCTTGTGCAAGCTTCTTTTCATAAGTCATGTTCAATTGATTACAAGTTTCTTTAAATTTCTCCTCCCTCTTTGGTGTTGCTACCCAAAAACCGACACTTTCCCTAATCTTTTCAATTGAACTAGAAATTGTTTGCATGCCATCTTTCACTATCAAGTTTAATATGTGGGCGCAACAACGCATATGAAACAATTTTCCTTTTAAAATAAAAGAAGAAGGTGACATCTTATCAATCAAATGGTCAATCAGAGCATCATTAGTGCTACAATTATCAACGGTTAATGTTGACAATTTTCTATCAATATTCCAATCCATCAAACAATCTACCAAAAAATCACAAATGACCTCAGCAGTATGTGGCGTAGGGACATAAATGAACCTAAAAATAAATTATAATAAATATCACATAAAATAACTATATTATAATAATAACGTAAATGGAAGGGAGAAGTTACCTGATGATCCGATTCTGCAAAATCCAATTTTCATCAATGTAATGAGCTGTAACAGACATATATCCTTTGTTCTGGTTGCTAGCAGTCCACATATCAGTAGTTATTGCAATGCGGCTTTTATTGTTTGCAAGTATTTTCATTTGCTTTGACTTCTCACTTTCATACAACTTCATTATATCATTCTTCATGGTGTTGCGAGAAACTATCTTGAACAAAGGTTGAAGAGAATGGCTATAATTTCTAAAACCAATATGGTTAACCATCATGATGGGATATTCATGCAATATAATCATCTTCGCGAGTTCATTCCTAGAAACATCTTGATTAAATGTATAATTTCCAACCACAAATGATTCATGTCTGTTTCCGGATTTTTTTTCTGTCACTTTAAGCATGGCTTGTTTTGGACCTCTCTCTGTGCGTTTTGGACATATGCTAATATGATCAAATAAATGTTTAGTACCATTTTTTGTATCACCACCAATTTTCTTATCACAAGATTTGCATATAGCCTTCCAAATGCCTCCTATTTTTTGCCTTTTAAAATAGGGCCAAACATCTGATTTTAATCCCCTTTTGTTAGGACTTGTAGTGGGTTCAACGGGAGCTTCAGGATCTTGATTTTCTATATTTATTTCATTTGGAGTAGATTGAACTTCCTGTGTGAGTGAAACTCCACTACTTTCTATAGGAACTTCATTCCCTTCCAAAGCAACATTAGGACTATTAGATGATTGAACTTCACCAACCATTCTTTTACCAAAAACCTGGCACACACAAACACAAATTTTAAAAGGCTACATGGAAGTAGAACAAAAATAATAAATATATGAAAAAATAATAAATAAATGAAATAGTAAATACATGAAATTCACACAAAAAATAATTAATAAGAAAAATCTTATATTTCTAAATATATGATGCATTACACATATTTCTAAATATGCCTTATTTACTGTAACTTTTCAATTAGAAATAATAACATATATTAATTAATTATATACATTGAGAATACATTTATTTACCTATATACATGATATATTTACTCGTGTAAAAAGTTATATGTTATTATTTCACTTAATGGCTTTGGTTTTATAATTAGAAATATAAGATATATATTTTTTTTATGGGTGATAGCATGATATATTATTGTTTATATGTTATTATTTCATTAATAATTAGAAATATAAGATATTTGGTTTTTTTTATGGGTGATACCGTGATAGCATGATATATTGATTCATTTAAAAAGTAATATTTTTTTGTTTAATATAGAAAATTAAATTATAGTGTGATATATTAATAAAAAATAGGAAAAATATATTTTAATATTTTTTAAGGAAAAACTGACGACATTATTTTAATTACAAATGCATAGTATAGATAAAAAATGAACACAAAAATATTTAAAAGGAGATAAAAATGAGTAATTTTTTGATTATTTTATATTTTTTTAATATGCAAATGATTTGATAACTCTAAAATTTCTAAACAATTTAATTTAAATTTAATCAAAATAATCAACTTTTCCTATAAGCAATTACATGAACAGGTTTATGAGAATCAAGGAGAAACAATCTACTTTTTTCTATAAACAATAATATAAACAGATTTATGAGAATCAAAGAGAAATAATCTATTTTTTCCTATAAATAATTACATGAACAAATTTATGAAAATCAAACCTTATTGATGAAATTGTAAGAGCTGTGAATAATGGAAGCACACCAAATAGAGAAGATGGAATTGGAAGAGGAAGATGAATGGAGATTTGACTTGAGAAGAAAAAAAGGAGTCTAACGTGTGAGACTCTAAATGTCTGGCAGAAGAAAATGAAACGCTTCAACTTTTTTAGGGTCTAATATTTACATTTCTCTCTCTTAATAAATACATGAATATTTATTTATTTATTTATATAAATAAACATAAAGGAAATGACTAAAAAACCTAATCTAAAATATATATATTAAATTAACTATATTAAAATAATAGGCGGGGCGGGGTCCCCGCGGGGCGGGGGGTGTATTCCCCGTCCCCGTCCCCGAAATGCTCTCGGGGAAATTTTTCTCCCCATCCCCGCCCCCACGGGGGAAAATTCCCCATCTTTGGGGCCCCGAACGGGGCGTTCCCCGCGGGGATCCCCATTAACAGGTCCAAACTGACATCCATATCTTCTTCCCCAATGTATGTTAGAACTATGGCACAAATGCCCTCATTCTCTTTCGAAACCAAACTGAAATGCAACAAACTCACTGTCACCATTTTCTTTGATTTTTGCTTCAAATAAAAGTGGTGAAAGTGATTGTGTCATGCTTAGTGGTGAAAGTATTCTTGGATCTTATGTCAGATTTGTTGTGAAAATCACGTGTTATCTTCAGAGAAGAGAATTTTGCTGACACAAAGTTTAGTTCTAGGAACCCTAAAAGCTTTGCGGTTGAAATTCAGGTAAATCATCTTTTGTCACTCCATCTTCCATTATTTTTAATTTTCCATTATTCAACTATTGATACAATTATTTTTATAAACGAAAATAATTTACGAATATTTTTATAAATAAAAGTATGAGTTCAAGACGCTTAAAAACGAGAAAAAGTCTACATGTTGATACAATTATTTTTATAAACGAGAATAAGTTATAAATATTTTTATAAACGTGAATAGTTTACAAATATTTTTATAAACGGGAAAATTCAACTATTGATACAATTAATTTTATAAACAGAAGAATTCAACTATTCATACAGTTATTTTTATAAATGAGAATATTACAATTATTTTTATAAATGAGAATGAGTTATAAATAGTTTTATAAACACTAAAATTAAACTACTGATGCAATTATTAAACAAGAATAAATTACACATATTTTTATAAATGGATGCACGAGTTCAAGGTGTTTATAAATGGGAAAAAATTTACATGTTGATACAATTATTTTGATAAATGAAAATATGTTATAAATTTTTTTATAAATGAGAATAAATTACAAATATTTTTTATAAACTAGAAAACATTCAACTATTATATAATTATTTTTATAAACAAAAATAAATTCAAATATTTTATATTAGTTTAAGTTTGTGATATGTAATTATTAACAATTCAAACAAATAAATTTAAAATTGATAAATAATTATAAATTTATAATTATATAAATGTAAGTTAAATAAATAAATTTAAATTTGACAAATAAAAATAAAAGACATATAATATAAATTCAGACACAGTGGTGGAGTATCCAAATTTCTTATTAATTATTCAATAAAATCCTTGCTTATCAAAAAAAGAGAGAAAAAAACTTTAAAGAATAATTATTTTAGACTTAATTTTAACTTTAGTTCTATTATTTAACTCTTTTTCTTGTTTTGATTTCTCTAATTTAAAAATTATTATTTTAATTACTTTTTAAGTTTTATTTTGAATTTTAATTTTTTTAAATTTAAAGATATTTTCTAATAAGTTGACACTATTTTTAGTTATGTATCATTGTTTTGGCAATATTTAAATACTCTAAATCATTTTTTAATTACTTATCATTTTAAAAAAATTCTAAAATTAATTGGTTAAATTCAGGAAAAAACATCATTTTTGTAACCCGTGAAGATTGAACCCTTGACTGCAAAGTTATGGACACTCATTCTATCTACGAGACCGACTATGCTCAGTTGTATTGATATTTAACATAGATTTTAGATGCAAAATTAATATCAGTAACTACACTTTTGTAGCTCCATCATCATTTTCCTGCAACTTTTGTTTAATTCCCTGCCTATTATTCCATTCAGCATGTCCGAACCTTCCCAGTTCAAAGCTTTCTCCTGATTCAAAACCCTAAAACCCTTTCCCTCAATTTCCCCCATCAAACTCCTATGGCAACTGCTATCGCTCTCAGATTCAGATCCAATCTAACCCGCACCGCCTCACACCTCACCTCCTCTCTCCGTCCACCACTCTTCTCTTCCCTCTCAACCCACCGTTTCCTCTCCACAGCACGCCGCCAAACTCCATTACGCCCCAAGAAAACCATCGACATCGCCGCCCGCGCTCGGCAACTCCAAGCCAAGCGTCTATGGACCTACGGCCTCTCATTCGCGACGTTCACCGGTTTCATCGTCGTCGTTCTAAACAACTTCCAGGATCAGTTAGTCTTCTACGTAACTCCAACCGACGCAATAGAGAAATTTCGAACTAACCCTACCAAAGCCAAGTTTCGATTAGGCGGTTTGGTTCTCGAAGGAAGCGTCGTCTATCCATCTTCTTCTCCGGGTGTGGAATTTGTCATCACCGACTTGATTACCGATATCGTTGTTCGACATGACGGATCTTTGCCTGATTTGTTCAGAGAAGGACACTCTGTTGTTGCTGAAGGCTTTGTCAAGCCGTTCACCGATGACATCAAAAAAGATAATTCCTTGAAGAAAGTTTCCGCCAAGGCTAGAAGTGGACACTATTATTTTTCTGCTACTGAGGTTCTTGCAAAGCATGATGAGAAGTATATGCCTAAAGAGGTTGCTGCTTCCATTGAGAAGAATAAAAAGATTCTTCAGGAAGCTAATGCTAATGCTGTGTCTGAGGAGAAAGACAAACTCAACAACGCCTCATAGTTTGATGGTACTGCTAAACTTTTCATTTTAATTTTATTTACAACATATTCAAATGTTATCATTTTTTTGGATCGGAAATTATTTAACTATACAGGGAGAGTTTTTTGTAATAATGATTAGGAGGAACACAATGAGAAAAAGGAAGGGGATAATGGAAAGAGAGATTAGAAAATTTTGATTGTTTATGAGGCTATTGTCTCATGTCTTGTTGTTGTAATGTATCGTTTTGCTTGATAAATATTTATATTTACAGGTGATTAATGAATGTTAACTTTTTATTAATGTTAAATGGAAGCCATTACGTCGCCATGATGTGGTAGATTTTTGGGCGACTGCCATGGCCCAATTTGTAAACGAATGCCTGCCACGGTGGCGTCATAAGCTGTAATGGCGTGTTAATATTGGCGGATTTTTGGTATTTTGTCATCGACAACACTATTTATTTGATCATGAGTTTAGGTTTAAACTTTTGTTACTTTTATGGAACTTCCTGTGGTAGTATTGTGGGCATGACTTGTTAAAACTAATAATTGCTTTGAAATTTTAAGCATTGCCTGTTGGACACAGTGTTGTCTCAGAAGTCTGTCCTATTCTGCACATACAATTCGAGTCTGCTTCTCAAGCAACTTTTGAAATCTTTGATTGGGAAACTCAAATGGGTGTACTTTTTGGTATCATAATGTTAATTAGTTGAAATAATGTCTAGATATGTAAGCCAAGGTTACAGGGAACTTGAACTTAATCTGATGATTTTAAGCAGTTGCGTTGTGAAATCTTTTTTATCTCTTTTGCTCGTTAAATTTGGAACCCGTCGGTGGCTTAACCCAAATCCGGTTTGAGTTATGGCAATTTTTATACATCAAAAAGATCCTGAGTTTAGTTTTACAACTTCTAGAATGTAATTCACTAATGCTTAGAAGAATATAGAGCATTTTTTAGTAGGATTTGGGTTGTTGCTGTTGTAGAACATAACCTTCTTTGTATGCAAGAGAAATATAGGGGGATGGGGTGTTAGAGATAAGTGATATAGCAATGGTAAGTATTGTTCTGACAGCTTCAAAATATGAACCATTTTTAGCCCATCCACCAGTGAAGAGAACCCCATTTACCAATTCAAGCTTCTGCAAGTCATTGTAAAAACACACTCAGTATCATCATCACAAACATTTCTAAGAATAAAAGAGAGACAATCACTAAGTTCTAGTTATGTTGTAATAATTGATACCTTGAGAAGTGTCTCATGTGGCTTAGTAGAGATGAGGGGAATAACTCTAGCACCAGTAGTTTTACCACATTAGTGATGACGTTGAACGATTTATCTTCAAATGGGAGTTTAGGGTTCACATTTAAGTCTTGTACAGCATACTCCGTGAGTACCTACAGCAACAAGCAAAAACTTCTATCAGTAAGGTAATGTTTCTCTAGCAGATAAAAAAACATTAAGAATCTTGAGATTTAACTGTGTCATGGTTTTTCAATTGAATTTAAGTTTTGGCAAGATAATATTCATGTTATGGAATATCAAACATGAAGAAAAACCAACCTAGTAGAATAGAATACTCTTAGGGTACCAAATCCAGCTCTAAAACTAATTAGGTTTTTCTTACCGGGTTGCTCTTCAATTCTTCTTCGTTCATGCCTAATGCCAAAGTGAAGATTTATGACAAAATAACAATAGATATATGCAATACCAGAGAAAAGAAAGAAAATGAGTAGAAAAATACACGATATAGGATTTATGACAAAAATCTAAAATGAACAATTGTTAGACTTCAATTATCAGCAAAATACACGATATAGGATTTTGAGAACCTACAAAGTCTAGATGTAGTGAGCTCTAGTAAGACATGGTCAAATATTAAGACTTGTGTTTTGACATAGCACTTGACTCTTAGTCTTTAATATCATATAACAACAACCTTCCTTATGAAATTCTAGTTTATTTCATCTTTCAATTATATGGTACAGCTCTGCAATTGAATTCCTTACTCTACCGTTCAAAGTGCTTTGCAAGAAAAAACAATGCAAGAGATATAATAATGTTTCATTTTTTAAGAAAATATAATGTGTTTACTGCATGAACGTTTTACTTTCTTAAAGATCTCAGTCTTTGACATGAAAACAGTAATAAGATCTTGAGGTATCTAAATGTTTGAGTGGAAATGGTCTTAGTGTATCCAAATATACAAGAAAGATCTGAAAAGAAAAAAGACCATTTGGATATGACATTAAAGGTTAATAGTCAATCTGAAGGGAAGGTTATTGTAATATGACATTAAACAGAAAAGGAGCCAAATTATATTTCACATACCTCAAGAGAGGTTCTTAATATCTCTCTTAGAAAATATTAGTAGGTGCCTTCCTCCATTCCCAGGCAAAATATTTATGTAGCAATACTGACCCCTGCTCATAGAGTTGGTGAAGAAAAGATATCTGATAAAAGTGGACCAAAGCTTTGAGCCATTGGAACAAGAACTGGAGAGAACAAGGGGATAGCCGAACTAGCTTCCTGCATCAATGAAAATAAATGTAGTCAATCATGATTAGATTACAAAGAGGATTCTTACATAGGAATTTTTCAGAAAATGAACATGAATAAGTTTAGAGCAGAAAGTTCTGAATTATCTCATTCAAATCTGGTTTATTTTCAGTCGTATACATCTCATTATTTTTCCTATATTTCCGTTACTTTCTGGACGAATACCTTGTTATTGAATGCCATGAGAACATTTCCAGATCTTTGCACTGCATATCTTGACCCTGGTTAAATAGTATATGTAATTCAGTATCTACAAATCAAGTTACTTTTTACAATCAAGTTTAACAGAACAAAGTCAATATACCAATCTGAAGGTGGACAAGCGATCCCAGAGATTAGCCAACACCAAAAATAGGAAGCTCTTTGACCTGAAACAATGAGAAAAACAAAGAAGCCAGCCCTCGGATAATGAGTTGAGGCTTACTGTTCCTTTGTTGTGAGCTCCAGTTACCTGAGATAGCCTTCATGTCTGAATCCATAATACATTTACAGCATCAAATATTAAGAGACTCGAGTTTTTCCAGACCTGTATTAAAAAAAAAAAAACTAGATGCCGTCGACACTAACTAAAAGATAATAATGATAATTCATCTAAAATCCGTCAACACTAACTAAGAGATAATGATGATAATTCATCTAAAATAATTTAAAAGAAGAGTATACATTATGCAGCTGATTCAAAGAATATAGTGAACTCATAAGATACATTTGAAATTTACAACAAACAAACCAGCAAAACAATTACCTATTGTGCAAATGATTTAAGAGCGAGCAAGAAACAAAACAAGTTTTTCAGATCAAGTTTTACGGAACAACAAGTAGTTGTAGAAGAGTCTTAACATAAATTATAGTTGATGTATCTCCTGATTAACCAATTGTGCAGTGAATGAAGCGATTCAAGCTTTCACTGCTCTTATAATGGCTGGTCATGATGAACTTCTTTGGTCGATTCACAGATAGGCGAGGGTTTCTTATGATGCGTGAGACCGAGTTGAACAAGAATTTCTCATGAAAGATCGAGTTTTTAGGGAGTAGGGACAACTCGTGATTTATTTTGACGAATCAATAGTTTCCAGCTCTGTTGTCATCTTTTAAGACCGCCAACAAAATAATAGAGGGATTGCAACGCTTTATGGTGGACATTTCTGTTTCTTCAAACTTTTGCTTAATGATTTTACGTTGATAGGAGGCCTGGAGATATAGCTCTTGAGTTCCTAATTTATCCCAGTATTTGTATGATGTTTGTATATTTAAGTTGTAAAGACACGTGATCAGCTAGAGTGTTTTCCTTTTTGAGTGAAGATTCAATTTAGTTAGAATCCTATCAACGTAATCTTACACATTATTAATATTCTAAAATGATGTTGAGTCAAAATTTAAATGTTAAAGACTCATTTAATTCAAAAGTCATATATTAAAATTAGGGTTAAATATAATATTTTAAATTTTATTTTTAGTCCTTATTAAAATAATGATAAGTTTTAGTTCCTACAAAATTATTATGCACGTGATTTTAATCCTTGTTATTAAATCAATGTGTATTTTTGAATGGTTATTTTGTAGACATGTTTAGAACGTTATAAAAAGTTCTTTGAAAAAAATTTTAAAATTTAATTTCTAAGTCGAGATTTTCATTATTTTTATCAATATCTTTTGAAATTTAAAAAAATCATATTTAATTATTTTCATTTTAAAAAATTCTAAAATTTGATAAAAACAATATTTTATATTATTCTAAACACGAATGGAACATATTATTTAAAAATTTAAAGATAATTAAATAATTTTTAAAATTTTTAAAAATAGTAGAGATTAAAATTAAACGAATAAATTTTTTTTAAGAAACAAAATTTATCATTTTTTTAATAGGAATTAAAAATAAAATTTAAAATATTTATAAGGATAAAAACATATTTAACTTCTAAAAATTGTCTACAAAACTTTCTTTTAAAGTAATATTACAGATTTCAATTATTTGTTTATTAAAATTGTTATGGTTTATTTATAATGAGCCTACGTTTTTTCAAATGGAATTTTCTTTTATTCATTCTTGTATTAAATATTATTGACTTAGAGTATATAATTATTATTGTAATGGTTCTAAGAAACTCCAATTAACAGAATGATCATATCATAACACATTATATAAACACATCAAATTACATAGTTGCTTCAATAAAGAGAGATATCAATCCACATTCAATTTAGTTCCTAAAATTGTAGAATCCTATCAACATAATCTTACAATGTTTGAAGTCAATACGGAAGCTTTAGTCATGTCTTTTTGACGATCAATGACTATTTTTGTAAAATCAAGTTTCTCAAATGAACTTTTTGTTTTGATGAAGACAAACCATAATTGACAAAGAAGGCAAAGATTGATGATCAAGCTCAAAGCATCTATGGACAAAATCTTCAGTTCAAAGCTCTTAACAACTTTCAAGGTATAATGATATTATTT